CTTGATTCTAAATCATTCTCATAACTAATATAAATAAATTAATGAAATCCATAAAATCAAAGATAGCAGATAAATCAAAAGAGTAGAAGTGATTCATAAAAAAATATCTGAATAAAATAATGGCACATTCATAACTTTTAAAAATATTAACCTTAAATATAAAATAGATGAAAGCAAAAGAATGAGGTTCTCTCCCAATATTACCTCCATCTTTATTTTTCTCACTTTCTTCTTTCTATATGTCACTCTTTCTCCTTTCTCCTTCTTCTATTTTTTTTCCTTTCTTTTCTTTTTCCCTCACTGTCTTGCGTTTTCACTTTCTCTTTCTATTTCTTTCCCTTGGCTTCTTCTTTCTTCTCTCGGTTTCCTTCTTTTCTTTCTACTTTTTTCCATCTCCTTCATCAGGATGTTGTATATATATATATATATATATATATATATATATATATATATATATATATATATATATATATATATATATATATATATAAACATGTTTAAAAAATACCTGACTATATATAATCATTACTTTTCGGATAAAATCTTACTAAGTATCATCATTAGATAAAATTTTTGAGTCTTCTTAGGGTGCCTACATGTCTTACTGATTTTTTTTATACACGCTTACAACACTAAATGCGCCAGCTAATTACGCAACATCAATTAGTACGGCGCTTTAAGCGCCCACTTGTGACACAACTGATGAATCAAAGTGATGATGTGGATGCAACGTACACTTGATGATTCCACGTCAACATAGTTTTGATGATAACAAAGAGGAATGCTCAAGGACAAAGCAACATCCAAAAGAAACTCAAAAGTGAAAGCATGCAAGCACCAAGTCTCAAGCATCAATCCAAGTCCAAAATCTCAAATGGTATATTCATTTAGGACTTAGGAAAAATGTGTAAAGGTGTATAAATTCTAGCAATGCATGAGCTCAAGTTCATTCATCACTCATATATTTCAAAAGCATGCATCCTTAAAGAAATATCAAAACAAAAGGTTTGACTCATCCAAAATTGATTTGAAAAAGGTACCTACATGATTTAAACGCTTCAAGACAGTTTCCATAACCAACTTCATGAATCACAAGTCATAAAAACCTTTTTAAAAGAAAAGAAACTCAGAATATGAACAAAAAGGATGCTGTCATGAAATATTCGGATATTGCACTGAGAATATCCGGATACAATATTCGGATATCCATATCCGGATATGAGCCTGATAAATATCCGGATATGTACGGATTACAACGGCTATAAACGGCTAGTTTTCAAAGGAGGTGCCAATATAAATACCCACATCAGTCATAATGAACAGTACACGACCATAGATCAATTATTGAAGCTTTGTTACTCTTTCTAGCCTATTATTGCTCATTAATCACTTACTTTGATCATTGCATACACTTGAGCTCATCTTTCCTTTGAAGTTATACATCTCTTAGTTCTTCAATTTGTGCAATCTGTACTTTGAGAGTACTTAGCCACTTTTAATCACCTCAATCTTACTTCTTGATTTGAGAGGGGAGTGAACCCTATACTTGAGAGGTCACCAAATTCCTAAGTAAATTTGGAGTGAAAAATTGTGAGGCATCAAGAGCCCGAAGTCTTGAAAGTTTGTAGAGGTTTGTCAAGCACCCTCAAGCTTGATAGTTAGTGAAAAGAATTGATCGAGCGGCTTCAGTTTTGACGTAGGTCACGGTAGTGGTGACCGAACCAGGATACATCTAATTTGCAATTTCTCTAACCTTTACCTCCTTACTTTATTATTGAAATTGCATCTTTAGATTGTCTTTATCCATTCGCTTGCTTACTTTGTTAATCTCTACACTTGCTCTCACACTTAGATTTTTCCTTATTAAGTCACTTTATTGAAGAAATAGTCTTTAAAATATCAAAGGAGGCACTTTGCGAAAAGATTTTGTAAAACTCAATTCACCTCCCCTCTTGAGTGTTGAAGCCACTTGTCCAACAACAACATGGCACATTTTGCATCACTGTCAATTTATATGATGTAGTTTTTGACGCCACCTTAGAGACAAAGTGGCGCTTTAGGCGTCACTGTTATCTTTTTTTCTTTTTCTTCTTCCTCTGTCTCTGGCGCTACGAGCACCCTTCTAAATACATATTGGAACTTTTTGTGCCGCACTGTTCACCATTTTTTTTTTGCTATTACATATTTAATTAAGCAAATGAGGTTTTTTTAAAATTAAAATTAGATGACTAAGTAGTATAGATATTAAAAAAAAAAATCACGAATTTCATATGTAGCCACTCAGCTATCAAATTATGATATTCAAAATGGTTGTTGAACTTATATTTTTTAAATTTTATACTAATACAAGCAGTGTCGGAGCCACGATGGGGTAGTGGGGCCTTGGCCCAAGCTAAATTTCAAAAATTAGCGATGGTTTCTACGTGGCTAGTTTGTAGGTTTATTTTCAAAACATATGGCTAAATAACCATGGCCTGGACCCGGGCTGGATTGCTACACTGGCTATGCCACTGAATATGAGTAAAGAACAAAAATGATTACATAAATAATAATTTTATTATATTTATAATTAATAAAGTTACTAAAAAATATTATTATCTTAATTTTAATTTAAGATTGGTATTTTTATGCAAATATCATATGTTATTTGTTGGTCGTATCTTATATTATAATTTTTTAAAATTTATCAAATTTATATATTAGCGTCTTATGGTACAGTCGTACAGGTATCTATGTCTAGTCTATATTCGTGGGGAATTTTAACTTTTAGGGGGCGTTTGGTAGAGGAGAAAAAAAAAATTATCCGGGAATCTTGATTTTCAGAAATATGATGAAAACATTCAGTTTACGATAATATCCGAAAATTAAAAATTTAGAAAAATTCAGTTTTCCGGAAATCCTAAAAAATTAAGAAGCGGAAGAAATTTATTTTTCCTTTTGGTGGTAAATGGCAGCATGGTATGATTAGTGTTTATTGGTCACTTTGGTTGCGATTCATTGATTAGCAAGTGAACCCCAAATGGAAAGAAATGACACAATCAATCAGAAAATAGCTTCAACGTCAACATCAACATCAATTATACCTTTATCCCAAATTAATTGAGGTTGATGGTAGATGAGCCCAAATAAAAGATACGAAAAGGTTGAAAAAAGATAAGATTATATATATATATATAGAGAGAGAGAGAGAGAGATAGGATCCTTTGACACTAGTGAGTGGCGAACCCAGGAAATTTTATTTATGTCTGCACATTTAGTGGCGTTGAATTTTTTTTAATTTTTTTTAAATACATTAAAAAACAAAGAAAAAACAAAAAAAAAACTTCAACTTAACATAAAAATAATAATAATCAAAAGTCAACTAAGCTATCATAATTTCAAGCAATGATTATTTGTTAAGATTTTTATTTGTATAGCGATGCAGAATAATCTTGCCCTATTTTTATTATTATATTAATATTAAATATAATTATATATCACAAGTGAGGGCAAATTTTTTTACATTTTGAGTTGGACAACAATTCATAGAAACTCTTATAAGTTTCAATATTTTTGGTTGCAAAGCCAACTTTATACCTAAAAGGTGCATGGCTAGACATTTTCTACAGCACACTAGCCAACAACCAAATGTTTACTCCTTACTTTTCCATGTGTCCTTAACACTAATTTTAACCTTGGCATATTTTACATTATGAGTTATTCAAATCAACCCTTAATTTTTAGCAAAAAAAATGTTCTCCCAAAAACTTGTGTCTGCAAGTGCCCACACTTGCAATAGTGTGGGTCCGCCCCTGACACTAGTGTCAACTTTGAAATTTGACACCTCACCTGAGAGTCATTAGATAAAAAAAGATCAACGACTCTGATTTGTAAGCATGTGACACCATTGATCTTTTCTGATCTAATGGCTCTCATATGAGGTGTCAAATGATTCTACCTTATATATATATATATATATATATATATATATATATATATATATATATATATATAAGTAATAAAAGAAGGGGGGAAAGAAGAAGAGGAGAAATGAAGAGGAAAAGGACTAAAAATGACCATCTGGAATATAGGAATAATAACATGTCTAACCCTCCACCATGCTTATAGCTTTTCTCCATTCCATTCTAAGGCACACCGTATACCAATCTATATCTCACTTCATTAAGTCTTGTTTTACTACTTTCTCCTAAATAAGTTTCGGTCTATCTCTACATTTCTTTGTGTTGAGCTATTGATAACAAACTTTTATTTTTACGAAACCATCCTGAGCCTTCTCATAAAATAGCTTGACTTATTAAAATATAGCAATGCAATATAGGAAACTCAAGACTCAATAGTTTGGCTGAGCAAAATGACAAAGAATTGCTTCTGTAGCAACTTAACCTCTCTAAGGGTGTGCATGACAATCATTCTATTCCCTAACACTGTTTCTGAAAATAAACAATTTTTTTCTATTTCTGTGCCTTGGAACAGTTTGTGAGAAAATAAAAAGTGTTTGATAACATGTTCTATTTTTATTCCGAGAATGAGAATTGTGTTTGATAATACAACAAATAATATAATAAAAAATAATTCCTATTAAATATAAAAAAATTCGGATCATCACTTTCCTTTCCATATAGTGTGATTGTGGTGGTGGTGGCGGCAGCAGTACGATAGTGGCAGTGGCAGTGATGTGGTGAAGATAGTGGTGGTGGTTGTGATGGCAGTGGCTACCACGATGGCGGTGGTAATGGTGGCAGCGGTAGTGGTGGGGATGGTGGTAGTGGAGGTGACGGCAGTGGCTGCGACAATGGTGGTGGGTATGGTGGTTGGTGGCGGCAACAATGGTAGCAGTGGCATGGTGATGGTGGTTGTGAAGGTATCGTGGTGGTGATTGTAGCAGTGGCTGCGGCGGCGGTGGTAGGTGACAGTGGTGGCGGCGGTAGTGGTGGCAGTGGCGTGGTGATGGTAGTGGCGGGGGTGGTGTAATGGTGGCGATGGTGGTGCTGGTGACGGTAATGGCTGTGATGATGGTGGTGGTGGTTGGCGACGGTGGCGGTGACGACGACGATGGTGGTGACGGTAGTGGTTGCGGCAATGTTGGTGGTGGTTGGTGACAGTGATGGTGATGATAGTGGTGACGTCATGGTGGTGGTGGTAGTGATGGCAGTGGTGTGTGATGGCGGTGGTGGCGGTGACGACAGTGGTTGCGATGATGATGGTGGTGGTTGATGGCGGTGGTGACGGTGATGGTGACAGTCATATGGTGGTTGTGACGGTGGCATGGGGGTAGTGATGAGTGGAGGAGGTGGTAATGGTGGCGGTGACATTGTGGTGGTGAGGGGTGGTGACGACGACACTAGTGGTACGATGGTGGCTGCGACGATGGTGGCGGCAGTCGTGTCGGGATGATGGTGGTGATAATGGTAGAGGTGGAGAGTGATTGAGAGAGATAAGTGTTTCTCATTTTGTGCCCGGGAACAAAAGGGCAGAAATTTTTTGATTCTTTTTCTGTTTTTCAACACAAAAATTAAATCGGTTCATCCCGGGAACAAAAAAATAAATCGGTTTTACCAAACGAGTTTCCTATTCATTTTTGTTCCAGGGAACAGAATTTAAAAAAGAATTGATTCCGGGAAGTTGCCATGCACACCCTAAGCTAACATAACTTATTTTTTGTCGGCTTATAATAAAATATAGCTTCGTTTTTTTTAAGTTACTTTAGATAATTTTGTTTAATATTCATTAAAATGATGTTATTTTGGGATAAAAATTATTGTGTATTTATAATTTTAATTTATTTCAGGGTTATAATAATCTTTATCATTCTAATTTTTTAACCTCAAAACGACGTCGTTTTGATAAATATTAGATAATTTTGTTTAAAGTAACATTAGATATTTTTCTCCCCTTAAAAGATTAGTTTTATAGTTAATTAGCATATTGACAGGCTTGTTAATCTGCAATTTTTGTTGTCTTTTTTTTTGGTGAATAATTATTTTTTTTGTCTTTATAAGAAAAGAAAATACATGTTATAGTGCTTAATTCTTAAACTTTATTTAATTATTTAAAGAGTTATTTACGGTTATTCGTGGAGTTACTAATTTGAAAATAGTGATAATGTTGGTTGATTTACTGTTTGGGGTTTTGTTTTTATTTGCTTTTGATAAATGACATCAACAACTTTTTTATTTTTTAAATTTCACCTCCAGTTTATCAATTAAATGACCAATCTCATTGAGGTGGATATGATCACATGAGCGACAAATGAAGTGGATATAATCACATAATCAATAAAAATCTTCTTATTAAATTTTTAACTCAACTATATATCTGGGATTCGAATTTGAAATTGTTGATAAAATTGAAACAACCCGTGGCACTTGATGGTTATATCAATATTTCCTGATTACCAAAAAATATATATATATACATTTCCTGAACAATTAAAATGTGACCAAATTAGAATAATTAACTGTATAATAATATTGATTGATAGAGATGTTTTTAGATAATTAAAAATAATCAGCTCTTACGAAACAAAACCTAATCTATAGTAACAAAATAATGCACCTGAACGCAATTATTATTATTTTAAGAGATTAATTTCATATTAATTGTATATTATCATGTCACTGAAAAAAACTTAACTATAATTAGTTGCGTTTCGAATCGACTTTTTATTTGATTTGATGTAAAAATCGATCATCATGCTTAGAATTCGTGATTAAAAATCAAGATTTGAACGGGAGAGATTATATTTAGAGTAAATAACTTTTTTGGTCCCTAACAAAAAAACACGGTTCCAATTTAGTCCCTTATAAAAATAAATTAGTCAGTTAGTCCCTAACAAATTCAAAGTGGACCCATTTTAGTCCTTTTGAGGGACTAATATGGGTCTTTTTTGAATTTGTGAGAGACCACGATTTTAACTAAATGGGTCCACTTTGAATTTGTTAGGGACTAACTAACTAATTTATTTTTGTAAGGGACTAAAGAGGGGACCGTGTTTTTTGTAAGGGACCAAAAATAGTATTTACTCTTATATTTATTATCTTTTTTTTTCTTATTATCTCTTACTATCAAATTTTAACCATTATTTTCTGTTAATATAACAATTATAATATATCAGGCCACACTTATTAATTAATTATTAATTTTCAATAAACTATAACATTCAATTGACAGAAATCAACTATTAAGATTTGATACTAAAAAAAAATAAGTATAACATTTCACGATTTGAATTACTTTAAATATCAAATTTTATATTTAAGATACCTGATTAATTTCAATTTGTTTTATTACTTTTATTTTCCCTTATTTAGAATATATAAATAAAGGTCAATATTGAATCAATTCCCTCTTCAAATCAATTCCCTTATTCACCTCCAGTTTATCAATTAAACGACCAATCTCATTGAGGTGGATATGATCCCATGAGCGACAAATGAAGTGGATATAATCACACAATCGATAAAAATCTTCTTATTAAATTTTTAACTCAACTATATATCTAGGATTCGAATTTGAAATTGTTGATAAAATTGAAACAACCCGTGACACTTGATGGTTAAATCAATATTTTCTGATTACCAAAAAATATATATATACATTTCCTGAACAATTAAAATGTGACCAAATTAGAATAATTAACTGTATAATAATATTGATTGATAGAGATGTTTTTAGATAATTAAAAATAATCAGCTCTTACGAAACAAAAACTAATCTATATTAACAAAATAATGCACCGGAACGCAATTATTATTATTTTAAGAGATTAATTTCATATTAATTGTATATTATCATGTCACTGAAAAAAACTTAACTATAATTAGTTGCGTTTCAAATCGACTTTTTATTTGATTTAATGTAAAAATCGATCATCATGCTTAGAATTCGTGATTAAAAATCAAGATTTGAATGGGAGAGATTATATTTATTATCTTTTTTTTTCTTCATTATCTCTTACTATCAAATTTTAATCATTAATTCCTGTTAGTCTAACAATTATAATATATTAGGCCACACTTATTAATTATTTATTTATTTTCAATAAATTATAATATTCGATTGACGGAAATCAACGATTAAGATTTGATTGTAAAAAAAAAATAAGTATAACATTTCTCGATTTGAATTAGTTTAAATATCAAATTTTATATTTAAGATACTTGATTAATTTCAATTTTTTTTATTACTTTTATTTTCCCTTATTTAGAATATATAAATAAAGGTCAATATTGAATCAATTCCCTCTTCAAATCTTTTAGAATAAAAGCCTTTATTTATACATCTAATTAATTCCTAATATTAATCACCAAAACATCCTCATAGACATAATTATATAAAAATATCAAATAGTTTTAATAATATATCACAATCACGATAACAATAATTGATAAATCAAAATATTATCACGGAAAGTTTTTAATGGTTATTTTTCAAAATAATTATGATAAACAAATTTTGATTTTGTTACTTTTTAAAAGCAGGCATTAAAATTGTCATTAGATACCATTAAATTATTTATGAAATTTGAAATTTTAAATTTAGATTTTGGTTTTCTTCAGCGGGACTTGTTACAGAATTAGCGCCGTTGTCATTAAAATTGTCATTAGATACCAATATATATATCACTAAACTTCCAACGTTTATTTACAAAAAAAAAACTTCCAAAGTTTAAGTCAGAGCATCTACCGCCGCTGTCACCACCGTCTCCGCCGCCGCCACCAGCTGAGACTCCCCTTTACGTATCATCTCTCTATTCCAGCGCTGCCCTCGTTCTTGCTTTACCCGACGTTTCTTTATATATGTATTTACACACGTACACATGTTTATTTCTCAATGTTTTCTATTTTTGTTATTGTTCAAAATAATCAAATGCAATGCTACTGTTACTGCAGGCTGAGTCAAGAATCAAGAAGACTGATGAGTTCTTGAATTTGTTCTTAAAATTAATATATTGGTAATGTATGTTCAGGTTGAATCAGTGTTTAATTAGGCTCTTCTAATTGTTTGAGTCTTTTTTGTTTTATAGGATTATATCTGTTGTTCTGTGATGGAGTTGAGTATACCTGAACCAGAAACAAAACAAAAAAAGCGTGGGAGAAAGAAATCTAATGTGTGGGAACACTTCACTGTGAAAATGGATGAACCTGGATTTGGCCGGGCTTATTGTAATAAGTGCAATAAATCATTTGCTTATATGAAAGATTCAAAGTTATCTGGCACCAGCCATCTCAAGAGACACGTCTCCCTCTGTCAGAATAATCGACAAACCGCATGTCCTAAAACTGGTGCTAATCTACCAAAGAAACGGGCAAGAACAAAACCTCACTCTTCTGCTATCTCATTTGATCAGTGCAAGAATATGATTGCTAAAATGATTATTTTGCATGATTATTCACTTCATATGGTGGAAGACCAAGGTTTCATTGATTTGTTGCGAGCACTTCAACCCAATTTCAATCCACTGAGCTTTAATGCTATCAAAGAGGATTGTGTTGATATGTATCTTACAGGGAAGCAAAGGTTGTTGAATCTTATCGATGGGATTCCTGGGCGAGTCAACCTCACCTTGGACATATGGACTTCAAACCAGACATCGGTCTATGTTTTTCTTCGGGGACACTTCATTGATGGTGATTGGAAGTTGCATCATCCCATTCTTAATGTTGTGATGGTGCCATTTCCTGATTCTGATGGTTCCTTAGATCAAACCATAGTAACCTACCTCAGTGACTGGCATTTGGAGGGTCGGGTATTTACTCTTGCACTCGATAAATTCTACTCCAATGGCAATGAGGCTTTGATGAGAAAACTGAGGGATCTCCTCTCTCTTAAGAGCCCTTCGATCCTCGGTGGCCAATTATTAAGCCAAAACTGTTATGCTCGTGTGCTTAGTCGCCTTGCATTAGATGCTTTGGGGGCAATGAGAGAAACTATTGGTAAAGTTCGTGAGCGTGTGAAGTACATGAAATCTCATGAGAAGAAGTTCTTTGAGCTGAGGCAACAACTTCAAATCCCTAGTATGGTGGAGCTTTCAATTGATGACCAAAACAAATGGGACACAGTCTACCGTATGCTTGTTGCTGCCTGTGAGTTAAAGCAAGTCTTTGATTGTTTTGATGCCTCTGATCCTGATTACAGAATGACTCTGACAATGGATGACTGGCAGCAGGTAGAAACTTTATGTGTATATTTGAAGTATTTGTATGATGCGGCTAACATTTTAACTGTCCAACCATACGCAACTGCAAACTTATTTTTCCCTCAAGTGTCAAAACTTTTGGTGGAGTTGACTCATGCAGCCTTCAGCCAGGATCCTTTCTGCAGTAGTTTGATTATGCCTTTGAAAGAGAAGTTTGAGCAATATTGGATGGAAAGCTGGTTCATGTTGGCAGTTGCTGTAGCCATGGATCCGAGGTGTAAAATGAAACTTGTGGAATCCACCTTTGTTCACTTATTTGGTGACAAGGCTGAGTCATGGATAAGAATTGTTGGGGATGGTCTTCATGGACTATTCGATGATTATGTCAAGTCAGTGCTTCCTTATACAGCGACAAATGGTGATGAAGGGAATGAGGCTATGATAAAGACTGAGTCATTTGAAGAAGGGTCAATTGAAGCTGCATATTTTGATTTTGACATTGATATATCTGACTTAATAGGTAACCAGCAATGGAAGACGGAATTGACTGAGTATCTAGAAGAGCCTCTAGAGCCCATTGTACAGAAATTTGATATTCTGAACTGGTGGAGAGTAAACGGATTGAAGTACCCAATATTGTCTAGAATGGCTTCTGATATTTTGTCTATATCAGCATCTACTCTCTCTGCAAATTTTGTTTTTGATACAGAAATTAGAAAAATGGATAGCTACAGGAGTTCATTAGACTCCCTTACTCTTGAGGCCCTTATTTGTACCAAGGAATGGTTCCAGGATAAATCATTACCCATCGATGCTTCTTTTAGGATATAGATTTCTTCTTTTAGGATAGATTATCAAGTATTTTTTGGTATTGAAATTTTGGAACTATAATTCAGGTCAATTAATTTCTGTGATTAACAGTTAGTTTTTTGATTAGTTGTTTTTAAATTCAGGTCAATTAATTTCTGTGATTAACAGTCTATTCTAATCCTTTTGTCAAAGCTGTTTTGTATTCAAAACATCAATTGTATTCATAGATTCAATAAAAAAACCTTCCCAGGTTTTTATTGCCGTATAAACATTGACCCATCATATTACAGAGGTGGTGTGCTTACTACAAAAAAAAATTTCTTATTTGCAAACCAATATACGAAAATCATTATCTCATACAAAAAAAAAAAAAAAATTTATGCACTACGAATACGAATAGTACATAATTATAATGGTAAAGTTATTTTTTCTCTCTCCGGCACATCAGCCAACAATGTCTAAAGAGAGAAAAAAACAATTTTAATATTATAACTATATACTATCCATAATACATAATTATTATTTTTTTGCAGGAGAGATTTGTATTCTCAGCAACATAAGACAATGATTTCCATATATATATATATATATATTTTTTGCGGTTGCCTCATCGTTTATCTTACCCTTACTGCTTAATTGTTTGATTTTACAAACCGGAACATAATGGTGGAATAACTAGCAAAATGTGTCATGTAACACAGTAGTAACAAGATTTATGGATGAAATGAATTAAATTAAATAGTCAAGGACAAAAAATAAATTTTGAAAAAAAAAAAGAGAGGAAACAATCCATTGAACGTCAGGAAGTAACCTTTTTTTTTTTTTTTGATACATAAGAACTAACGTTTTAGTTTAGCCATAATAATGTCATATTTAAAACAAAAAAGTACTCATTATAAGAGTAATCTCAATTTCAATCAAATTACTATACAAAATCTATTTTTAAGTGGGTTTTTTTAATATAGGCTTCAAGATTTTTTTATTTTGGTAAATACGTTAAAGCCCAATTTAATGTATAATTAGAGGGAATTTTTTTCTTTGAAAAAAATCATTTATTTCAAAAACGTTCTCAGAAAATTTTGGTTAAAAGCTTTTTTTAAATACAAAATAAAATAATTCAAACAAGGACTAGTACTGAAATTATATCTGGAAGCTGAAAAAAATACTTAAAGAAAATTAAACTAGACACACACTTTGAATTTTTTAAACATACAAAACCTTATTGCTAGTACTAAAAAAAAGTTTGTTATCATGCATTTTTTATTAGCTTATTTCAAGTTTAAAAAACTTTCTACTTAAATCTTTTTGACTAAAAAGCAAAGTATAAAATAAGCTAATTCAAGTATGTAGTAGTTACAGGCGGTGCTTGCACTCACGACAAAGGCTATAAGGTTGTGTTTGGTTCAAGAGATCTGTGAAGATGCCCAGTAAACCATAAGTGGGAATAAGTGTTTGCTTCGTTTGGTTGAGGAGAACCAAAAATAAACCCACTTTTCAAGGTTGCCTAGCCATCTCTTTCGCGTGCAAAAAGGAAGCAAAGTTACTGTGTGATATGTCCAATCTTAACGTGGTATTTGAAGATGCATAGCGAAATAGCAAAGAGTGGTGTAATTTTGTGACAAAACTACCCCGTTAGCAAAGTACACACACAACTACTCCCATTGAGGTTCTCCACTGCAGCAACCTTCTCTTCCTCTACACGTTTAAGTTCATCTTCAACTGATGAAAGATCTGTATTCCATTGTACTGTTGTAAGCTTGTTATGTAATATTGTAACAAATTAACAGTCCAACTGCTATTCTAACAATAAACAAAAAGGGTTTTCAGGGAGGGGGGAAGGAAACCTCCTAGCAGTAGTTGCTTCCAGTCCTCACATTCCTACAGCCTCTCAGGTACAAACCAGAAGCAAGCATAGAAGCCAATAGTTCCCATCAAAGACCAGGGGTACTGATATACCAAACTATAAGAAAACTAGAGCAAACATTGTTCCAAAAGGGACTGCCCCTCCCAGATTAAAGCATTCAAATGAGAGAGAGAGTCTACGGTGAGTGTTATGGAGATGTTGAAATTGTTGAAGAACGAAAAGCGTTTTGTAACAACAGCAAAATTTAAAATAAAGGTTATTTTAGTCATTAATATCAACTTTCCCATCAATATTTTACTTTCAACCAAACATGAACTCATATAATCTTACTTAATTTTCCCAGTAATTTTTTGGTCAACCAAACAGATATTTTTAAACTTTCCTATCAAACTCACTTTCCAACCATTTCCCTATCAATTACATTTCCCTAGTATTCAAAAAATATCTCTTCAACCAAACGCCTCCTAATAGAGAGATTGTCACCAGGTAGTGTTTGGTTGAGATTTTATTTTTAGATCCCCATCCATCTTATATTAGCATTCCATGTTGCCAATGTTTGGTAGAAGGAAAACAAAAACTTGCCCATCAAAATGTTTTCCCCATCCATTGTGAATTACATGCAAAAGGGAGATGTTTCTACGTTGAAGTTTACCATTTGAGAGGTATTATTTCAAGAAAACTAGGGAAATGAAAAGAGGTGAACAAAAAATCTTACATATTTACCCTCTTGTGATTAGTTTAGTCATTTCCACCCATTTAAGTACAAGGGTTAGTTTAGTCATTTCCATCCATTTTCCCATCATTATTTTACTTTCAACCAAACAAAGACTCACAAAATTTAATCCAATTTTTCTAGTAAAATTTTGCCCAACCAAACAACTTTTTTTTAACTTTCCTACCAAACTCACTTTCCAACCATTTTCCTATTAATTACATTTTTCTAGTATTCAAAAAATTTCTCCTCAACCAAACGCCTTCCAGAGGAAATCTACAACAGAAATCAAAAATAGCTTTTGTGTGACAGATAGTCGTAATGAAAAAAGTTGAAGACTCGAGCAACAAAACATACCTGGCATTTGGTAGTAATCTATTGTGATGATACCAAACTCATGTTGAACAATTTCAGTAATTACAGTACACTTACTGCCAAAAAAACCATCTCATGGGGAATAAATAATTGAATTACCGGGAAGAATAATCTTACTTATAATGTCAAATTCTATTCCAGGTTGACAAGATAGAATCACTCCTGTGAACTAGGAACAGCTACCATTCCTTGACATACAGGAACTACACAAACTGTAACAAATAACAACACACTTTTTTTTGAGATAAAAAGCATCAAACATAATTAATTAAACAGATGTAGCTGTTTTAATGCATCTATTATGAGATTCTACAGATCGATTGCATTAGAAGGCATCAGGAGGGAAACGCCCAGGAAATGGATTATACTGTTGAGCCTGATTCAAATGCATTCGCAAAGCATAGTTATTCACCTGTCAACAAAGTCATAAAATAATCAGCATCCATAAAAAGGTTTTTAAATTCAAAATAATATTTTTGAGAAGATTGTTAATCTTATATTTTTATCCACCAGATTTCCTTACTCATCCCTTTGTCTGAAACAATGGAGCAATTTCAGTATAAATTATTATCTTACGTTAAGATGCAGTAAAATCCAACTTTTGCCCCCGCCCTCTTTTCAACAGAACAGTTGGGCAGAAGGGAGGAAATTGGGATTTGATACGTTCCCACACTCACTTGAAAGACCCGTGCCGTGATTTATTGTAGATAGTGGATTAACTACCAAGCCTCAATCCCATGAGGAAGACTACATGGTAGCTAGTACAAGGCACTTGGAAGCATTTCCATGTATCAGTCTCATAGTAAAATTATGTTCCAGGAATTGAGCAATAATCTCCATGATGGTCATCACTAAGTCATTTCTATTTTCTACAATTTAAGCGTTCACATCAATTCATCCTTTTTTCTTCCATTTTACAAGAAAATGGTATTTAAAATGTATGCAGATATTAGTTAAGTTTCCAAAATTTTAAAACCAAATGATAAGAATTATTGAAATGTTTGGGTCAAAGGGTGAACTGTGAGAACAGAACAGGAATAAAGCTGATCTAACCTCAAGTGTTCTGATCTGCTCCTGGTATTGAGACACCAACTGCTTCAACTGCTGCACCTCTTGGTTTTTGTCCTCATAATCAGAAAGACGTTCAAGCTGGATCCTAAAAGCGCTTTTAAAACAATTTTTCTCCTTAGTCAAGGCTTCAATTTGCTCCTTGAGGATCAAATTTTCCTGAAAATAAAAACCTCTGATGAAACTATTACTCAAGCTCAACATTTCAGTTATTAATTTCATCCAGCTGCTACTTCAATAATCCCCTTTGCCCATAGCATATATCATGCATTTATGTTGCCCCTCACAAATGACATTTACTTAGCTACAAGCAATATGCCAAGACATCAGAGGCAAGATGATTTAACACAAACCTTAAAAGAGGATATCTGCTAACATGGTTGTGTCCACAACAAACTATTCTACTCCATAATTTCTTTCCCAAATTCTAATGGGGTGCACAGATATATGATAAGCAAAGCAATTACAGTATGAACATATATACCCTTTGAAGAGCTGATGCTGCCTCAGAACTTGCATGTGCACTGATTGATTTCTCTAGAACCTCCAGCAGTCTAGCAGCACGGGCTCTGGCATCATCAACACTAGTAGCACACGTCATTTCTCTAACGAACAATTCAATCCATTCTGCTCCATCTGCAGGAAGATTGTTGGAAGCCGGCTTGTTCCCAGAAGCAGAAGCATCATCCCTATTATTATTATCTTCCAACGTACCAGCAAGTTTTTCTAAAAAATCTGTCAATTTCTCATTAACAAAGACCCAAAACAATATTCAAGAAATTGCAGCTGATAATAAGAAAGCACAAAAAACATCCGATTCATCTTTGAAAACATGTGATGTGATATTTATTCACCATAAAATTGTACCTGTCTCGACGTTAGCCTGTGGTTGTTGAGCAGTTCCAGAATTTTCATCTGCAGATCCAAGGCAAAGCCCGTGCAGGCTCTTGATGGCAGCATCTAGATCATTGCCACATTCTTGGAGTGCTTTCTCAAGGATCTGAAAAGGAAAAGCATCAACAATTAACTACGTATTTCCTTCAATTAAAGAATGAAACAGAGAAAAATTAAGAACCTCGTCTTCCATATGAGGAAAGAGAGGGCGAAGATGATCGATGAGGGTGGGAAGCAAAATGCGAATTGGGGAGGAGGAACAACGCAGCCTCTTGGATACAGGTGGTGAAGGAGGAAGGTCTTCGCAGAAAGGTCTCTTGCTTCTGCACACCGCAGCAGACATCGTTCAATAGTGCGTCGTCTTCTTTCTTTCTTCTTCTATTATCTTCTTTCTCCTTTCTTTCTTGTTCTCTGTTCTTCCCCAAAATTCCAATTCAATCCGATTTTCCCAAAATGAAAAAAATAGGGTTTGGTTAGGGTTGCGCTAACAAAGAAATGGAGGAGGAAAGGGGAAAAGGGAAAAGGGATAGGGGAGTAGTTTTCGTATGCGATTCAGGAAATGAATCAGTATATATTCGTCTCTTGGATTGGTCAAGTTCCGAACATCAAGTTTGGGGCTCTTGAGATGGGACAATGAAATCCACGGTTGTGTTTTATCATTATGCCCCTATATGGGAAGTTTCATGAACGTTTTTAAGAGAGGTGATATTTACAAATTTTTTGTTTACAAGCTAGTTATAGCCTATCGGTTATATTTTAATTAAAAATATATGATCAGTTATATTTAGTGTAATTTGTAAAAGAAAAATTGTAAATGAATTCTACCCTCATCTTTTATACCGTGTTTAATATTTTTTAACAAAATTTATTAAAAAGATGTTTAATTGAAAAAATTCAAACACTTGATGTTATATGATCCTAAAAATTATATGTATCCAAAAAAAAAAACCTAAAAATATTTAACATTTTAGTTTGTAATTAAGCTTATTTTAATGCTTCAAACACATTTTGAATTTCTAAATCTGTGATGTTAAAAATCCTAACATATAAATATTTAAATGACTTTATTTGTTTCGATATCCATCTTTGAATTTTTAAATGATCACAAATATTTTAATTTTAATTCATTTTCTTTTAGGTCTTTAGTGATAATTTTGGAAAATAAAAAAATTGACATCAAGGTAAGGATTATATAATGGTTTTTGACTCTTTTGTCCCTCATTAATTAATTAATAACCAATTTGCCCTTGATCCATAACTATCCACCAACATGCCCCTGTCTAATCGACTACGTTGAAGGTTTAGTCGACTAAATAATCAAAATTCAGAAATTGCTTTGACACGAAATGTAGTCGATTAAAAATCCCTCTTGATCGATTAAATTTCAAGACTTTTAATCGACTACAATAATTATGTAGTCGACTAAATGTCGGCATAAATGTTTTTTAAAAACCCCCCATTTGGCAGAGGGGGGTTTATTCAAACCCTAGTCGATTAACACCCTTCTCCCAAACCCCAAATCGATCTCCTCCATAAGAACAACCGAAACCTGCGCGAGGCGTGTGGATTGCACCTAAAAAACGCTCTAATTCGTGAATAGGTAAGCATTATGTTTTACGTTTTGTATTTTTTTTTTTCTGTACACATGTTAGTCATACAATTGGGTGTTTTGTCTCTGATTTATGGTAGAATGCTGGTCAGTATACTGCAATGGGAAAGCTTTTTGTTATCTACATCAAGTTATTATGTTATTGTCATGCATGATTTTGAGAAAATTACCAACTTGTCTATAATGGTCACGACAACACCAATGGAAAATTAAAAAGTATACTTGTCTGTGGCTGTAGTTGAATACAGAAACATCAAAGAAATGGTACTTATAAAATAAATTAGTTGTGCATGCTTTTTGTATCTTATGTAAATCTCACTTTAAATGTTCATTGTAGGTATTTCGTAAAAATGGCGGGCCGCAGAAGACCAAGCAATGACGAACATGAGAGACGCACGAAGCTTCGACAAGACCGACCTTCTTCGTCAAGGCCACAAGACGAAGAGCCTGATACTGTCGACCTCCCATTTGGATACCTATTTGAGGATGACCCCTCAGTTCACGCTGCATTTGTACGTGACCATTTGAATCGGCCCTTATGTCCTCCAAAATCATTGGATACAACATTTTTTACGACGGAGGGATTTCAGATTGTGGAGGTGTTGGAGGCGGCACATCTGAGGGTGTTGGCTGAGACGCTGTGTCCGTATTCAGAGATGATGGTGCGAGCCTTCTACCATAACCTCAGCTACGTACAGGGTGAGTTGAGGTCGAGGTCTGCGGTGTGGACATCATCATGACGGCTCCGGTATGGTTGGAGTTACTGGGCTATGATTTTGACTCTTCGCATATTGTGGAGTATGACGCTGATAGCGGTGTATCACTTCCTGGATATGCTCGAGGTGATGCTGTGGAGGAGGCCAGGAGGCCTGATATCGCACGTAGGCGGAACATACACTACACGGTGGGGTTGCTTAGTGTAGAGGCCCGTATATTACACTATGTCATCACCCACATACTGTTTCCGCGAGCTTTCAATCATTCCAGGGTGCTGGAACATGACATTCCTATCATGTGGGCTATTCGACATGGTGTTATGGTGAACTGGAGGCACTATATCTGTTGGATGATGTATAAGGTCAAACATAAGGGTCATCTTCCATTCGTCTGTCTGGTACAGAGGATATTGGTTCACTTCGGTGTTCCTATGGACACTGAGCAGTTGAAGAAGACCACATGCTATAATTGCAAGTTTGGAAAGCGTCTACTGGAGCAGTGCAAGATCGCAAAGAACAGGGCAGGTGTGTGGCAATTCTCTGGTACGGTGGAGGTTAAGGTTCCTTATGTTGCCCCAGATCCACACATGGTGAGGTTGAGGTTGAGGAGATAGCTGAACCTGAAGGTGGATTTTCTTTGTGTGATGTCATGAAGGGCATAAATACCACACTGAAGAAGATAGGAAAGATGGCGCTGAAACATAAAAAATGGAGAAAGAGTCACATAGAAAAAGGGAATGAAAGGTTTAGACACATACAGGGAAGTTCAAGGGTGTGGAAGATAGGCTTACTCGTCTGGAGCTTGCACAAGGTGAGGAGGTAGCGGAGGCAGCAAGGATGGGGACCATGTGTCAGATGAGGAGGACTCACAGACGGAGTCAGACGGGGATGAGCTTAGATTTAGGGTTTAGTTTTTAATTCTTGTGGTTATGGTTTTTTTCATGAATTTCCTTTAAGTTTTTGATGTAATCAAGTGACTGTGATGTTTATAGAGTTATGTTTTGTAATGAATGCAACTTTTGAAATGAATGAAGAATTTTTTTCATGTCTTTTTCATATTTTTTTCATGTTATGAATGGATCTTTAATACTAAAATTATCATCACGGCCCAAATTAAGATTGAACAGGTTACAATCATACATAACAACTCACAGCACTGAAGAATAGGTGTTTAAAATGGCTAAATCATGAGTTAGTAACCCTAAACAAACCTTTTGATAGCATACACCGTCGTTTTAGGATTTTAATGTCCACTTTTCTTTTTTGCTTCAGAAATTATGTTCCCTAAGTCACACTACCTTAGTTCATCAGTGTAGAGCGTCAAGATTGTGAAAAAAAACGAGAAAAACAGATTTAGAGGTCAAAAGCAATGATGTAGTCTATTAACCTGTACTGGTTTAATCGACTACAATTTTTAATCGACTAAACCATTACAGGTTAATCGACTAAATCATTGCTTTTGACCTCCAAATCTGTTTTTCACGTTTTTTTTCACATGTTTGAGACTCAACACTAATTAGCTAATGTATTTTGACTTGGGGAATATACTTTGTGACACAAAAATTAAACATGCACGTTAAATTCCTAAATGATTTATGTATTGTTTCAAAACGTTGGTGTAAGCGTACCATTTCATGACTTAAGCATTTTAAACACCTATAACTTATTATTCTCAGTTGTTTTGGACGAAGTAGATACATGGTTGTTATTATTTGGTCCCTTCGTATCATTTCAGTACAAAAGTTCCATTACCGACGTTTGTGAATTATGGGTTTAGGTTTTAGAACTTGGATCCAAACATAGAATGATCATTACATTCAAATGCAAATTAAAACAACAAAATGGTTCACAGTGGAGTTCAGTAACATCATTACATCAAATACATGAAAGTTAAACCATAAACAAATTAAGCCCCTCCCCTGCTTCCTCCGCATTTCAAGTCTGTCTAATCCTCATAGGACATGTACATTTGTTGTGACCAATTTGTTTGCACAGGCTACATCTACTCTGACTACTTGTGGGTTAAGACTCAACCCAATCCATCTCATTATGTATCCTTGAAGACTTTGGTCTTCCTTGTGCACGTACCAAAGATGTATTTAGGATGATGGTTGGGCCATCAATTTCTGGAATCAACAACTCATTGCCCATTGGATACCAATGTGCAGCATATACCTTGTCAATTTGTGCAATTGAGAACACATGATCAACATAATCATAGTGATTCAACTTTTCAACCTTGCACACCGCTAAGACGTGACTGCAAGGAAATCTTCTAGCTGTGAACCGTCCACATTGACATTTGCGATTGAGCAAGTCCACCCTCATTATGTCACCGGCATCATGAGTTGATTGATTGTAGGCATCTTCAACTTCAAATAGCTGCAGGTCCCTATCAAATACCCGCACACGGAGACTCACTGTTAACTGATCATTTTTTTGCATGATCTCCTCAACCTTTTTTGCAATTCTCCAACCTTTTGCCAATGCTTTTTGGATCTTTTCACATCTCTTGACGAAATACTCAACAAGTCTACTTTGGGTCATCTTCACCAATGTTGTTATAGGGAAATTCCGTGCACCCCTCAGGACCTTATTGACACACTCGGATAGGTTAGTGGTCATGTGACCAAACCTCCGGCCCTCCTCATTGTAAGACCTGCACCATCTCTCTTTGGGAATCTGGTCTATCCATGATTCCACTTGTGGGTTACTATCGACAAAATCCTTAAATCTGATGTCAAAATGAATATTCGAACTCAGGTACCCTGAAAATAGGAATATTGCATAAGTTAGATACCAATTTGCATAACATACAACAAGTACATAGCCAAGAAATTGTGTACCTAGTTTCATCAGTGTTTTCTTCAATTCTACATCCCTAAACTTAGTGTTAAAATTGCTTCCGATGTGACGTAGACAAAACACGTGATACGCAAATGGTGGCTGCCAACCGGCATGATCTCTTACAGCCCTTATGATGCTGGGATGACGATCAGATATTAGACAAATGCCATGCCTATGCGTGACATGAAAACACATGAGGCTAAGAAACCACGACCAATCATCCAATCTCTCACCCGGAGGAACAATAGCAAAAACAATAGGCAGAATGTATCCGTCTTCATCTTGTGACGTAGCAATCAAAAGGGTTCCTTTGTATTTACCGTATAAATGCGTGTCATCAATTTGGATTATGGGTTTACAATATTTGAAGGCCTCAATAAACTG